GCTTGAGCCACCATGCCCGGCCTGGATATTTTCTTCTAACCTATTGTCCAGTTGATCAATTCTCTCTTCAGCTGTGTCTAACCCAACAGTGAACACTTAATTCATTGCACTTTTTCAGTTCTAGTATTTCCATTTTGCTTTTATAAAGTTTTCAGTTACTCACCTAAATTCTCCATCTTGTCATTTAAAGTCTTAAATATGATAAGCATAGTTATTTTAAAGTCTATGCTTCAGGCTGCAATATTTGATTTGCCTGTGGCTCTGTTTCTACTTCAATTCTGTTTCAGTCATGTTTTTTTTGTTTTTTTTTGAGACAGGACTCTGTCACCAGGCTGGAGTACAGTGACATGATCACGGCTCACTGCAGCCTCGATATCCCAGGCTCAGGTGATTCTCACACCTCAGCCTCCTGAGTAGCTGGGATTACAGGCATATGCTACCACACCTAAGTTTTTGTATATTTTGTAGACACAGAATTTTGCTTTGTTGTCCAGGTGTCAAATTTCTGGGCTCAAGTGATCCTCCCTTCTTGACCCCCCCCCAAAATGCTGGGATGGCAGGTGTGAGCCACCACACCTGGTCTCAGTTTTTAAAAATTATTCCTGATTATTTTTTATTGAGTGCTACACTGTGTATATAAAAAGTATAAAGATAATTTGAAGCCATGAATAAGGTTATCATCCTTCATAGCAGATTTACATTTGTTTCTGGCAGGTAATTTGGATAACAGCCTCTACTCCCAGAATAAGGTATAGCCTCTCTAGAGTCTCAGCTGAATGCCTGGGAGATTCACCATGGTCTCTCAGTCCCAGCTGCACCCAAATTCCAAAGTCTCCTCAGGATTGTGTAACCTCTGAAATTTCTGTTCAGTTCTGCCACTGACCAGAATGTTCCCTGCTAAGCCTCTGCAGGCTAGGAACTGACCGAGGACCCAATGGGAAATTCTTAGGTTTTCATTATTGTAATTCCCTTCTCTCTGGTGCTCTGCCCCTCCAACCCCCTGCCAAATCCCAGCCACCTTAGCAGCTATCAACTCAAATCTGCTTCCTCCAGGAAGCCTGCCATACTCTGCTTGGGCTCCATTTTCCTGTGCCACAGTTTGGAAAAGCCTCTAAGGGAGAAAGCCTAGGTGACCCTGGGATTCACCTTGTGTGCCTCCTTTCTGTCAAAGTTTACAAAAGCCGTATGTTAACCATTATCACCAGGCCCTATTCTTTTAAATTTTTTTTTAAGAGACAGGGTTTTGCTCTGTTGCCAAGCTGGAGTGCAGTGATGCAATCATAGCTCACCACTGCCTCAAATGCCTAGGCTCAAGGGATCCTCCCACCTCAGACTCCTGAGTAACTGGGACTACAGGTGTGTGCCATCACTCATGGCTAATTTACAAAACATGTATTTTGTAGAGATGGGGTCTTGTTATGTTGCCCAGGCTAATCTTGAACTCCTGACCTCAAGTGATCATTCTGCCCTGGCCTCCCAAAGCACTGGGATTACAGGTGTGAGCCACCATGCCTGGCCCAGATCCTGTCCTTTTAAACTGTGGTAGGAAGAATTCTAAGATGGCCCCCAAGATTCCCACTGCCTGAGGAACATGCCCTGCAGAGCCCCTCCCCTTGAGTGTGGATGAGCCTATGAATATAAACGCCACTCCTACTTATGTAATTAGGCAAGGCTATATGGCAAAAGCAAAAGGATTCTGCAGATGTAATTCAGGTCACAAATAAGCTGATTTTGAGCTAACAAAAATGGAGATTATATCGAGTGGGTCTGACTTAAACCAGGTGAAACCCCCCCTTTTTATTTTTGAGACAGTCTTGCTCTGTCGCCCAAGCTGGAGTGCAGTGGCGCGATCTCAGCTCACTGCAATGCCCAGGCTGGAGTGCAGTGGCGCAATCTTGGCTCACTGCAAGCTCCACCTCCCGAGTTCACACCATTCTCCTGAGTCAGCCTCCTGAGTAGCTGGGACTACAGGCGCCTATCACCACCCCCAGCTAATTTTTTGTATTTTTAGTATACACGGGGTTTCACTGTGTTAGCCAGGATGGTCTCAATCTCCTGACCTCATGATCCACCTGCCTTGGCCTCCCAAAGTGCTGGGATTACAGGCGTGAGCCACCATGCCCGGCCAAAAAACTCTTGAAAGAGGAACAGGAGAGATGATTTCTGATGGCCTTGAAGAGGCTAACAGTCATGCTGTGAATCGCCTAGAGAGGGGTGGCCTCTACGAGTTAATGGCCTCAGTCCCAGGCATAAGGAGTTTAATTTTGCCACCAGCTTGCGTGAACTTGGAAGAGGTCTCCTAACTCCAGATGAGAAAGCAGCCTGGCTGATACCTTGATTGCAGCCTTGTGAGACAGGAGAGGACCCAGCTAACCTGTGCTTTGGCTCCTGATCCACAAAACCTTGAGATAATAGACGTGTGTTGTTTCAAGCTGCAAAATTTGTGGTAATTTGTTATGTAGTAATAGAAAACGGATACATTCGCTGTGTTATTTTGGTGTGACAGTTGGACTAGCTTTCCTAAAACTTGGGGCTCTCCCTATTCTATGGCTGAGACTAAGTGAACTTGGGAGTCATCCCCTCTTTAAAAGTGAGAAAGAATCTGGCTGTGTACCCTTCTTGTCCAAATGTCCTTTGTGACCTTTGAACCCCATGCCAGAACTTTCATGGGTCTTGTCTATTCAAGTTTTTAACTTCTTTTTTCAGGCCACATTGACATTTTCTATTTTGTTAGAAAGTCACCCATTTCCTATAGGTTATTTATTTTTGTTACAGAATTGTATATGTTATCCTCATATAATTATTATTCCTGACTCTGGAATTACATTTTTTACATTTCTACTGTTTTATATTTTTGTTGTTTTGTCTTAATCAGGTTGGCCCAGTGTTTATCTGCTTCATTTTAAAAGAACTGAATTTTGAATTTATTTATCCTTTTTACTATTTGTTGCATTGATTGATTTCAGCTATCTCATAAATTTTATCTTCCTAGTTTCCTGGTCTGTTTCGTTGGGTTTAATTTCTCTCTTTTCATTATAAAAAAATTCCAAACTAGCTTAAACCATATGTTTTCATTGTTAATTTGTTTCATCTAGATGCCCCATAAAATTCGGACACAAATCCTAGACATACACTTGCCTGTAAATATTTCAGTACATATTTTAAAATATAATGACTTTAAAGAAACTTAAGAAAATGTCCATATCACATATAAGAATTATTGAGATGGGACTGTTCCCTTGAGCAAGGGAACCTCTTCGTGAGTGAGAACTGGAGTGGCTGTTTCACTCAGCCTGCTGCTGGCCACTCCTCGCGAGAGGGAGTATGCGAGCAAGTGAGTGCAGGAACTGGAGGGAAGGAAGGCTGGAACTGGCCAGTTGCTCCTCTCTGGCAGAAGGCAGGCTGTGTATGGGCCCCACAGCAGCATCCAAGCCCCCGCCCTCCTGGCACCTGGGTTCTTGTCCGGCATCCAGGAAGAATCAGGTCACATGAATGGACTGAAGGGTATTAATATGTGGATGATTTTATTGGGTGATGGAAATGGCTCTCAGTGGGATGGGAGTTGGAAAGGGGATGGTGTGGGAAGGTGATCTTTCCCTGAAGCCACATCTGAAGTTAGCTGGGTCTATCCATAGTCTCTGCTGCTCAGCTGCTTGTATTCCCGCCCAGTTGGCGGCTTGTATCCCTGTTGTTCAGCTGCTTGAGTTGCTCTGCCACTTGAAGTATTTTTATGGGCACAGGATAGGGGTGTGGCAGCCGCAAAAGGCAACATTTGGGCAGAAAAACAGGGTCAGCTGTTTTCACTTAGGGTCAGGGTTCCAGGCTTAAGGGTGGGGTTTAGCTGGGAGCCCAGCCATTCTGTATCATTATGCTAGTTCTTTAACATCACCAATGTTCATTCAGACCGTTCTGCTAGCACAGAGGGCAAGGGCACAGACAAGTTCAAGCTGCCATCCTCCCAGAATCCCCCAGCTAATAAAGGCCTGGCTTTCAGCCTGACTGTAACTCAGAAGAAATATATTTTATACTGTACCCCCCAAACATGAATACCTACATGTATAACTGGAACAGATCTTCCACAAAACAGCACTTACATTTAACATTGGGCTGTCCTCCTCCTTCCCTCCCTCCCTCCATTCCTTTTAAATGTTGGTTGTAACCCATGAAATTGACTTCACATTATACTATAGGTCTATTATGTGCATGTTGAAAAACAATCTTACAAAGCAAACTTCTAAATAATAATGAAAAGGTTTATGAAATGAGTTTCAGACACCTTATCTGAAAGGAGGGGCAGAAAAAAAAAAAGCATTTCATCTGTCAAGTGCCTGGTGTCCATGTCAGCCCATTCCATGTTCAGTTCATTCATATCCCACATCTCTTGCTTATCTATACTATTATTCTTATTTTGCTAGGCACCACCTGTCAGTACAGAATATTTGAGATCTCACTGCCGGTTTTTTTCCATTTTGTCTTTCTGACAATTTTTGCTTGAAATTTCAACTTCCGCTTTGAACGTAACAGTCCAACACATTTGTTATCTATATACTCTAACCAAGCAGGTGCACTACCACCCATCTTCCTGAACTACTAAAGACTCAGAATTTAATTAAGTAGAAACTGTTCTTGAGGTCAAAATAAATAGCATTTAGCCCTTCAAGGATAAATTCTGCTGATAGTAGTCTTCTCTTTATAAATCTAAACTATAACCTTGGAATTCAAGTGAAACAAATAAGCAGATGTCAAACCAAAATCCATGTGAAAAAATAAACACCCTCAACAATAACAGTTACAATTAAGATCCTGACACACCCATCTTTAGTGATTTACTCTATTTAGCAAATATTTAATGCACTTCAACAAGCAGGTTCCTTGGGCTTTGACCTTCAAAGAAATGCAAGACACTCACGCAATTTAAAAGAGCTTTACTTAGTATACAATCTCCATACAATTCAGTAAAACAAATTATAAAAGCTCTTTGTAAGATTTTACCCAAAGGGTGTTAAAAACAGAAAACCAATTGCCACAAGAAAGTAAGACATTCTCTCATCTCAAAAGCTTTTTTCTACGAACAGACAAACACTCTCTTAGGCCAAAAGGCTGCCATGTTTAAAGTATTTGGGAGCATATTAACCAAGATACAGGATCTGATAACACTTCATTGATTTTGAGATTTGAGTTAAATTTTAAAAACCAAATATCTGTACATTAATTTAGGTAGGTTTTGGCCAAAGAGGAACTAAAATTTTTACATCTTAGACAAAATTAATATAGAATCAGAATAGACATTTTTACTTTTAATCGTGGAATAAAGATGCAGATCGGATGATGTATTTATATATGCCTTTGCCACCTGGCAGCATCCAACCAAAAACACACACCCACACCAACACAAACACACACACTCCTGTCACGCTGATCTCACAAGGGTCAGGAAAATCACCATTAACACGATGACAAACGGCCTGGGTAACATCTAACTATGCTCCTGGCTAATATACTTGAAATGAATCCCTATTTTTCAAATGCCTGTAATAAAGTGATTAGAACCTTCCAACTGAATTAGAATCTCTAATAACTACTGTGATCAGTATCAGTAGTTGGTCATTTAATAAAGTAAGTAGGTTAAAGTAGGGAATCATAACCTCAACTGTGTAACTGTACATTCGTTTGCTGATCTTCTGATATAAAGACATGAGTTTTTCCTTTGCCTAAGGGTCCAATGACTATAGTTCTACTTCTCACATAAATCACACCGATAACATGATTTGGGTCCCTTCTTCTCAGTTTAGAGTTTTAAAAGGTGGGATGAGTACTTAAATAAATCTATGAAGCAATCTAATCTCAGAAATTTTCTTGATTTGTATATTTTCCCCAATATCTTATAATTTTCCCAGCCACACCTAATTTAAAAGCGACTTTTATTGGCAACTAGCCTTTATCACTTCTTACCAAAGCATTCAACTTAATTTTTGCAGAAAGCTCTTTCTTTTCACACCCGTATTTTCTACATGTACGTAAATACTTAACTGAGTTGTGTACTTACAAGAGGAAGCAGAGCTTGCATGTAGTAGTTTGGGACGGGCGCACAACTCAAGGGAGGGAGCCGGAGCACTGAGAACACTAGAGAGCAGCCTCCAGCTGTGCTGGGGCAGGTGGCTTACGAGAGAGATGGAGACTCCGGGGCCTGGGAGTCATATAGGCAGAGTCCGTTAAGAGCACTTCTATTGTACTTAGAGGGTCTTCTGATTGCTAACTCAGAAGCAAAATCAAGTGGGTTTTCTATCAACAGAAAACAGAGCCATTCTTTGAGGCTATCACCACCCAGGTCTGAGTGGCAGGGAGCTGCCGCCGTGGGTCTCTTGCTTCGTTCGGCCTGGTGGAGAGGCTGTAAGCCAGAGCCAGAAGTCAGATGCTCTTCTTTGCTTTCCTTCTGTGTACTCCAGTGAGAAGGTCACATTGGAGAATACTGACGAGTGCTAAAAATATTTATTAATAACATGATTCGTTGATAGATTTGGTCATCAGGAAATAAAAACTTCTACTGTACATGGTCACAGTGTCTTGGAAAGAGTGTTAAGTACGGATTCTGTCTTGCAAGATTTTTTTGGCACTTTATATTTTTCACTGAAGACTGAGCACTAAAGGTGCTGGCAACAATGACACCTAAACTATGAAAAAGAAAAAAAATCACTGTTTGCCATCATTGCGGTGATAAGCATACAAATTTAAGTGCATGTTTCTTGTATATTAAGACTCCAAATGCCCAAATGCTTAGATGAATACATACAGGAATACTTAAAACAAATTTAAATATAGCCGTAACAGAGGATTTTGAAAACAAAACCACAGAGTCTAACATATTGTACCTTACGTGTGCTTGGTTTCAATTAGAGTAAGGCACTCGCTGAAGGATGTACTGACCCATGCTATCAGCTACAACAGGCATGCATCATTATTGGCTTAATTATTAAGTTTCAGTACTGATTAAAACGTTTTATTACTGTATTATCCTAAACTGCAGTGGTCTCCAATCGTATTAAGGGATACAAAAAAGGTATAATTCAGGAGTTTCAGTTGCATAATTTAATAACCCAGCTACTGTCAATTTTTTATTTAAACAAGTTTTGATAAAAGCTGAGTCTGCTTGTGTCCAACATGACAGTGTAAAAGACTTTTTGAATGCTGCTTAATAAGTAGTAATTGAATATAAAATCATTTGAAAATGTGATGTAGCCATCTTGATGTCTATGGTAATTTACTTCAACACAACTGCAAGCAGAAATGCTTAAATCATTTCCACCTGGCAAGAACAGGGGAGAAAGTTAATTCCATTAGCCATCTTGATTTAATTAAATGCATAATATGTTCTTACTAGCAACTTTTACATATCCTCTTCATTAGAAATTAATTATATAAGCAATTATCAAAAAAATTTTGAGCAAGTACATATATTCTTCTTTGTTGTTTACAAATAAGCATGACTTAGAGGCACTTGGTTACCTTTTAGTAAGGAAAAGAATTACACTACCAGGGCCCTCTCAGTAAGATTGGAGACCACAAGTCAAACTTGGTATGAAAATGCTGTCTGAAAATGCTGTCTGCTAAAAATACTGTATTAGTGAACTAGTTAAGATAGAACATTTAAAAAATATTCAGACTTTGCAAGATTCTAGGCTGTAAAAAATACAAAGGCTAAAAACACAAAAAGTTTACAAAATTTTGCAAACCCAATAAATTGAAATGAGTAAGAAATAAAGCAAAACTATTACTTGCAGGAGAGGTTAGAGTATCAGTAAGTTTTAAAATAATAACACTAAAATGTAATAAATTCTACTTGGCTACATACATTTCTGCCCCTTTAAGGATTTACAATATGGAACTTGTAACACTTTTCTGTGCCCAGCATTCAAACACATGCGTGCACACGCACACACACACACAAATACATGACACATAGTGCTGAAGTACTCCACATTACATTTCAGACAGAGTATAACAAAATGTTTGATACAAAGCCCTAACATGATTTTTTTTGTTAATGTTAAAAGCATGACAATTGGAAAATATTATAACATTTTAAGATAAAACAGGACACTAAAGAGCTTTTTAGAAAGCTACCAATTAGTCTTCACCAGTGAAATCATATTAAATAAGCCGATCATCATTTCTAGTTGATTCAATCATAGCTGTTTTAAGCCACCTGAAAATTAAAAGTATTTCAAATCCTGAGCAGGTGCTCATCTTCCAACATGGTATGTGCCTATCCAGGTATCCATGGAACACACATCATTCTCTCCAACAACATAATTTTAGGTCACTCTTAGAAAGTTGTCAACATTTAGGCTAAAGAACATTAATGAGAAAGATAGACACACAACAAAAAAGACTTCTGCTTGTAGAAGATGCTTTCAAAGATGGCAATGTTTGTGTAAACAACTGTAGAACTTACTCATATCACAGCTTGAAGGTTTGGGCTACCTACTTACATAGGAAACGTCTACCGAGTTTCATCATGATGCAGTTTCACTGTATCAAAAATAGACACTGGGCAGAAATCTGTGCTACTTGTTTCTGGACAGCTTGTAAACGTGGAAGGTTTTGTTCTGGAACACTCTGGTGAAGTGGGCCACGTAGGGAGGCAGGTTTCTTTTGATCTCTTCACAGAAGCGAGGGTGGTCTGCAGGTTTCAAATCAGGATCATTCTCTCCTGGGCCATCCATCATCTAAAACCAAAACAAACCCAAATACAATTTTGGGGGAAAATCCTACTTACGAAAGATAGTAGGAGCAGGAATGGGTATTGGGTTTAAGAATGGTATGTGAGTGAAATTAAATTATATTATTTCAATGTCCATGGGCACTTGGAGATCATCTGGCCCATCCTTTTCCCCCTTCAGAAGTGCAGACCACGGCTGAGAAGGAGAGTGCAGCGCCACACGATGATCCCATTAATGGGAAAGCCAGAACTAGAACTCAGGTCTGCTTGCTCTTAGGAACATACTATACTGTCTCTCTCACAGAAATGAAATACAGAGAACTACTGTGATCAGAGAAAGCTCTCTAATTCATCAGAAAAAGTCACACTTCAGCCAGGTGCGGTGGCTCATGCCTGAAATCCCAGCACTTTGGGAGGCTGAGGCAGGAGGATCGCTTGGATCAGGAGTCTGAGACCCATCTGGGCAACACAGCCAGACCCCATCCCATCTTTACAAAAGATAAACAAAATTAGCTGGGTATGGTGATGTATGCCTGTGGTTCCAGCTACTTGGGAGGCTGAAGTAGGAGGATCCCTTGAGCCTGGAAGGTTGAGGCTGCAGTAAGCCAAGATCGTGCCACTGCACTCCAGTCTGAGTGACAGAGTGAGACCCTGTCTCCAAAAATAAATAAACAACCTGAAAAAGTCACACTCAAATCAAAACTTAAATGGATGTCTTTGGTCTGCACCACCTCTGAACTCAAGACAATTATGAACTATGATTCTCCTCGGGCAAAAATCTGAATTTCAAATTTTGTACAGTTAAGAATTTTTTTTTTTTTTCAAATTTAGGCTAGGTTTGTCACTTTGTACAACTTGTTTACAAATATCTATTGGCTTTCATACCATTAATTACAGCACACCTCACACCTCTAAAGGGTAAAAATGTTTGCTCTACTGAGACCTGGCATAGCTCCAAGAACACTTTCCTCAGAAGGGAGAGGGGATAAGCGGCTGACTGCTTTTCTGCCCTGGAGTGCAACTTAGCCTCTGAAAGCCGGCATGTGGAAACGCACCAGAGGACACAGGACACTCAGTGGGAGACAGCAGGAGGGGCAGGGGGAATCCACCACCTAGACCGGAGGGCAGGAGGGCCCCACCACCCCTGCCATGCAATGGCTAGCCAATACGAAGCATTGGAGCAGTGGGTTTAAAGGCTGAGGTTTTGTTTATAGCAGCAAAATCCTTAACAGATACATTTTATGCAGAGCCCTATCATACAAATGAGCTGAAGGCAGAGCTGCTCTGTTTGGTGTGACACGGGGGACCCAGGGCTCCCCTCTCACCTCTTCCTTGCCCAGCCCCAGTGGCAGTCACTAAAGTGCCAAGAGAGGCGTTCTGCAGGAAGCAAGAGAAAAAGTGAATACTTGATTTGTAGCGTAATTCACCTGGACATAAAAGATAAAAAGATGCACATTCTTATGATTCAAATCAGAGTCCTGCCCTGGACTGCAACTTAGCCTCTGAAAGCCGGCCTGTGGAAATGCACCAGTGGACACAGGACACTCAGTGGGAGAGAGCAGGAGGGGCAGGGGAACCCCACACAGGGAGAGGCAGTAGGCTCACGTGGCCGTTGGCAATGTCCAGCAGGTCCCGGAGTCGGCAGCCCCGGTGGTGCCTCCGCTCGTAGCAGATGCTGTCTTCCAGGATTACGTAGTCGGTGCCAAAGGACCTTAGGAGGGCATGCACTTCCTCTGGTGCCCTCTTGGCATATATCTGATAAACCTTCAAAAAGAGATAAAAATGCAATGTGGCAAATGCTACTCAATTGCCAGGGAGTTCACTACGTGATGTAGCCTTTCACAGGGCTGAGTTTAAGACCTAACACCCAAGGTGCTCTCTCCAGCTGAGGCCATGCTGCACGCGCTCATCTGCAGGCCTGGAGCGTGTGCATGGAAGTTCCCAAACCACTGTGAGTGCTCGGCCTTGGGAAGAGAGTGAGCCAGGAAGAACATATCTGGATTCAGAATGTATTACTTCAAGTTAGGACTATATTCATTAGTAGGCGCTGTTCCAAGGTAAATGACAGGGCTAAGTAAATAAGATATAGTCTCTACTTTTAAAAAGGGGACCCCTGGACTAAAATGGCCCATTAAGAGCGATGGGACAGTCTGGGGGACACACGTCCCAGTAAGGCAGAGCCCCAGCTTCTGATACGGGTAGGTGGGGAGAAGGACCCCTGTAAGGTCCCTGCTCCTAGGCTGGGGCAGCACAGGCTGCTTTACTTGCTACACCGCATCTCGGCTAACTGAGAGACCCCCCTGCTCCTCTCCCTCTCGTCCATCCTGGGGGTGAGAGCCACTTGCAGCACACCATGGGCAATGCCACAGGAGGCCCCCTTCACGTTCATACCAGTGCCACACACCCTTAGTGGATGGATGCAAACTGAGCGTCCTAGATTCTGGGGCTGGAATGGAAACAGACTTTGTGAGGTGTTGAATGTGGGGGTTCATGAAGAGAGGCACTGCCTCCTTTTTTGCACCCTGATTTCGATGCTAGATTTCTGATTTGGGCTTAAGGGTCTAACTTGATGTGTCCACACGGATGGGTGAAATGGTAGGGAGGTAGGATGCTATTACTGCAACAACTGTGTTGTCCTACAATCCAGCACAAGGTCTCGGACTGAAGGCATTCCAAGGATTCCAGGGTCATGATGAAGAGCCGTAGGGCCTTCAGGATTTCAGCGTGTGGGGCCTAACCCTAGTACCGAGACAGGAAAGGAGATGCCCAGAAGGACACCCTTGGCACTTGACCTGTCTTTTCTGCAGTCTCCAGTTCAAGCAGTAGAGGCCACCCCGGATGAACTTGGTGTCTGGAAAACCAGGGAGCCCCTTTCCTGCATCCTCCTAGTTAATTTGGAACTATCCGGAACACTTGAGCCCATCAAAAAATTCCTATTTTAGCAGGAGTCTAAATTCAAATGATTCTTACACAAAACAGGAGATTTAGTAAAAATCATCTGCTTTCAGGCTAGTCAAATAGCACCTCAAAACAAGACTTTTTCAACAACTTTCCAAATGCCAACATGAAAAAGTGACATTAGGAAATATTTATGAGTTTGAAACCTGATTGGTGGGGATGAAGGGACACAGGCACCTCCTGCACTGCTGACTTGAATGTAAACAAATATGACCTGTATAGAGAGGACTTGATAAATCTTTTGATCTACATTACAGATGCCAACAACCCTGACCCACCACTTCCACATCCAAGAATCTGCTGTACAGACAGACACTGTGTCTGGAAAGAGTGATGTGCAGACAAATTTATCTGCAGCATTGTTCATATAATCACAAAAGACAGGGAAACAGCAGAAATGGCTAAATAAAATATGCCATAGCCATATAAAATATTAAGCAGCTTTAAAAGTAACAAGGAAGCTGTTAATATACTGAATATAGAATGATTTCCAAAACACATTAAGTGCCGAAGAAGCAGAATGTAGAATGCCACTTCTTTTGTTAAAATGGAGAAAGGAGCACCACCCTCCCCCACCATATTTGTATATGCACGAAATACCTGTGGAAGGAGACACAAGAAACTGCTAACATTATCTGCCTCCTAGGAGGGGAACTAAGAACTGCAATAATGGGAGAGGCACTTTTCACTGTATTTCCTTTTGTATGTTCTGAATTTTGAACTATGAGACTATTATTATCTATTAAAAAACAAAAACCCCAGACTTCAGAATGGTCCGTAAGAAATGTGACCAGTATGCCTCAACTCCTTTTCCTTCCCCTCCCTAATCCAAAAGCTTTGCTCCCAAATGCTCTTTTCTGCACATCTCAAGGCGTGTGTCTTCTCGGTTCTTCCCTGGGGAGGACCTGTGGCCTAACAGCACGTCCTTAGTGGATGTGGGCAGGCAGAGGTCCCGAACCGGGAGATGTGAGCCCTGTGCACTTATGCTCTGATTTCCCCTCTGATATGGTTTGGCTGTGTCCCCACCCAAATCACATCTTGAATTCCCACATGTTGTGGGAGGGACCCGGTGGGAGGTAACTGAATCATGGGGGCAAGCCTTTCCCGTGCTGTTCTCGTGGTAGTGAATAAATCTCACGAGATCTGATGGTTTTATAAGGGGGAGTTTCCCTACACAAGCTCTCTCTTTGCCTGCTGCCATCCATGTATGACATGACTTGCTCTTCCTTGCCTTCTGCCGTGATTGTGAGGCCTCCCCAGCCATGTGGAACTGTAAGTCCATTAAACCTCTCTTTCTTCTGTAAATTGCCCAGGGTTGGGTATGCCTTTATCAGTAGCGTGAAAACAGACTAACACACCCTCCTAACCTAATGCTGGAGGGTGCAGCATTCAGCCCCATCTTTACCACACATAGGGACATGCAGCCCATGGCTGGCCACAAGAAGCGAGGGGAGGCACAGGGAACCCTCACCGCTCTGGTCCGCTCTCTCAGGCTGCTGTCTTCGTAGTGCGGGTGGTTGGTTAGGGTCCTTCCCGTGCACAGCTTGACTCCGGCCAGCAACTGCATGCTTCCCGCAAACACAGCCTTTCTTGGAGTGTTAGAGCTGAAAGATTTTAGAGTCTGAATTAACCCCACTGTTAAGAGGTCCTTAAAGACAACAAAGACAATATCAAACTCTTTCAAAAGAATCCAGCTATGTTACAAAGAGTTACGAATCAGGGAAAAACAAAAACAAAAACGGGAGTTTGCTTGGGTTTTGACTTCCACTCAAACCAGTGAGTGCAAAAGTAATTGCGGTTTTTGCCATTACTTTCAATGGTAGAAACCTCAATTACTTTTGCACCAGTCCCATATTTTTTACAACAACGTTTTGTATCTGTTTTTGACTGTTCACCAGAATAGCAGTGGGGAAGCCTCTTACTGTTTTGCTAGGTTTACTTTCATAAGGAATTGTCTTAGAAGGCAGGCAGTGTAGCTTTTGAGCTCAGACTTCTAGGCCAAGACCCACAATCCTCTCTTGCTGTTGTTCCAGAGGGGCAGAGTCTAACAAAAATAACCTAAAAGACTGCCACTGCTTGTGTATCGAACCTAACAAAAGGGCTACCTAAAGCAACATATAACAAATCAAGCCAGAAACTGCAGGTGATAATGTCAATTCCAAGGGTTTTTGCTTAAAAAAGCAATAAGGAAAAAAATCACAGATACTACCAAAAATAAAAACAGAATTAGCAGCAATAACAAAAAACATGGGGCCGGGCGCGGTGGCTCAAGCCTGTAATCCCAGCACTTTGGGAGGTCGAGACGGGTGGATCACGAGATCAGGAGATCGAGACCATCCTGGCTAACCCGGTGAAACCCGTTTCTACTAAAAAAAAATACAAAAAACTAGCCGGGCGTGGTGGCAGGCGCCTGTGGTCCCAGCTACTTGAGAGGCTGAGGCAGGAGAATGGCATAAACTCGGGAGGTGGAGCTTGCAGTGAGCTGAGATCCAGCCACTGCACTCCAGCCTGGGCGACAGAGCGAGACTCCATCTCAAAACAAACAAACGAACAAACAAACAAAAAAACCCCATGGAAACAAGATTCTGAAATAGCCAATATCTTCTTACTCAATATGGGGGATACACAATACTTCCGATGTGAAAACGCAAATATTTTACACATAACTTTTCTTTAGTCCTGATTATGAGAAACTATATGCAGTTTAAGGAACACAGGGCACCCTAGTATTACGGCACAAACTCGCTTTCTAGCTCCCACCACACTACGATTCTCCGCCTCCCATGGGTGTGAAGGGCAGGGACTAAGGACCAAGAAAAGACTCCCAGAATACCGGGAAAGCATTTTTCCTTTTTCCTCCCTGGAAAAAAGGAATCATAGTAGCTGATTTAATTCCTTTCCTTTTTTTTTTTTTCCTGAAATCTGAGGGTCGCTTGCAAGCGGTCAAGGAGTTAATTTCTCAGGAGGCCCTAAGAGCTCTCTTCCAGGGATTCTCCTGAGTGCAGAATTTCCCACAGAGGCCCACTGAGGACACTGCGGGATGCGTTTATCCTTCTTGTGTTGAGAGGAGTCTGTGCCTGCTGGACTGAACTAAAATGAGGAAGACGGTTGTGAGGAGTTTATTTAAAATCATTAAAATTCAACATCCTTTGCAGAAAAAGCCACGGCAGGCTGTTCTCCATGGTTTTGGAGCAGGGCACGCAACTAGCTCTGGTGCTGCGGTTTCTAAGAGAAGCCTCATCACATTCATACATCCCACCAGGATGTTTTATTTATTCCAACTCAGTGCTAAGACTCCAGCGTGAACGCCATCCAACAGAGGCCTTGGATGTCTACAAGCAAGACATCCTACAATTCAAGTTGTGACATTTACAAATAGTTTACTTTTGAAAAATTCAAGATTTTCTTTCTAACAATGACACTCTCATTCACTCGCATTCCAATAAGCGTTCTTAAGTGAGGAAAAAAAGTGGCTGGAATGACAATGAGCATACATAATGACACATAATATGCATCCCCTCTCCCATGCCAGAGTCTAGAATGCGGATTCCAGCAGGAAAAAAGTTTCATGTGAGCTTGGCTGCACTTGAGAGCTTGTCATTCTGACAGACCCAGGAACACAAGAACAAATAGATGTTAGCTCTGTCCTCCGTACCAACAAATTACAGGGACTGTCTCACATTTTGTCCCACGTGGTCAGAGGAATAAGAGGGTTTCAATGAAAATGCAATGAAGGTGCACAGAATTCCTTAGTGAAAGGTTTTACTGAAATTCAGTTTAATTCAACTGACACTTACTAAACACTCTGGGCCTTGTGTACTGTGCTACCCTCACCCAGAGTGTAATGCTAAAGGAAACAAGTATGAACAAATACTAATTTTTAAAAGTGCCACCATTTTTCCAAGCCAGGCTTCTTTCCTTTGAATACTCTCAACTGGCACGAGCCATTCCACAGCAATCAATGATACGATAACTTGACACATCCGTGCCAAAAAGTGGCTGTCTTTGGTCCTCTGAACTAGACAGATTTAAGATGCAGAAAGAACATGAGTCTGGTTTCCATGCCTGGCAGAGCAGGAGGTGGAGGCGAGAGCTATCAGGGGTGAGTGATCCTGGTTTGTAGTCTTACTGCCTGAACAGTGCCAAGCTGGCCTTCTACACAAAAGACAAACCCGGCAGCTGAGCTTACAACATCCATTCCAATCACAAGACTGTCTCACCATCACCGTTTTGAATGTATAATAGGAATCTCTGTGTAGCTTCAGCACCAAGAAGATGCACAAAGCTATGTGTAGCATGCATTTTATAATTACAGCAGAGATAAGATGACAGGCCTTGTTATCCAGCCACAGCTAACGAACAAGGTTTCAGCCTGCCTCCTGGACTATAATCATAGCCCTTGGATGAATTAGAGTTCACAAAGGCTTAAATGCCCAAAGTCCTAAACTGCCCTCTAGGGAGTTATAAAGTTCGTTCTTTATTCAAACAATATTGCCGAGGGTCTACTATGTGCTGGGCTGGCAAACACGGTATGACAAACTGCCTTCAAGAAGCTTACTTAGGCCAGGTGTGGTGGCTCATATCTGTAATCCCAGCACTTTCGGAGGCCAAGATGGGGAGATCACTTGAGGTCAGTAGTCTGAGACCAGCCTGGCCAATATGGTGAAATCTGTCTCTACTAAAAATACAAAACTTAGCCAGGCGTGGTGGTGGGCGCCTGTAATGCCAGCTACTCAGGAGCCTGAGGAGGGAGAATCACTTGAACCTGGGAGGCAGAAGTTGCAGTGAACCAAGATCATGCCACTGCACTCCAGCCTGAGCAACAGAGCGAAACTCCATCTCATAAAAAGAAAAAAGCTTACTTAACAGGTCCCATTACAGAGAGACACTTCAAAATAACCCAGTGCTGTAGTGAGCCTAGTCTATCACATATTTACTAATGCTTACTGCAGGCCTTCAGCTAAGCTGGAAATGAAACAGCAGTCACTGAAGATGCTCTCTCCTGGGCAGGCTCTAAGAGCTCTTGAGTGGCTCCCACCCCCGGCCCCTGGCAGGTGCAGCCCCAAGGCAACAGCAGGGCCATCACCAGCAGAGCGAGTGACACATGGCTGCTCAGGGGAAATGAGATAAAAAGTGGAATAAAGCTCATTAAGTTGTGACTTTCTTAATGTCTGGCCTTATTAGCAAAAGTCAGAAAGTTTAAAAGAAGTATCTCTGTTTAATGTGTTAGTGCCACAATCCTCTGGATTGTTAACATACTCTTTCACTGAGGAAGTGGCTTTATTTTAAAGCAGTAAAATACACATATCCTCATGCCTATAAGATGAATTAAAAATAATACTTCTGGCTGGGTGTAGCAGCTCACGCCTGTAATCCTAACACTTTGGGAGGCTGAGATGGGTAGACTGCTTGAGGTCAGGAGTTCGAGACCAGCCTAGCCAACATGGTGAAACCCCATCTCTACCCAAAATACACAAATTAGCCAAGTGTGGTGGCGCCTGCCTGTAGTCCCAGCTGCATGGGAGGCTGAGGCAGGAGAATCGCTTGAACCTGCAAGGTGAAGGTTGCAGTGAGCCGAGATCACGCCATTGCACTACAGCCTGGGTGACAGAGATTCAGCCTAAAAAATAAAATAGAATAAAATAAAACAAAAAATAACACTTATTTGAAAATGACTGACTTCTGAGGACAGTAGGGATGATGCTTCTTTCCTCTGTGCCATGTGGCCTTGTCTGATATGCCAGCTCCGTGGTAAACCTGGGAAATAGCACTGCTACTTCCAATACTTCACTCTACCCGTAAGGCAAATGCCAAAGGAAAAGCTACAAGCAAAGTGGAACAAAATGAGAAACAATCACACATTTCTAAACTTAAAAAGATACTTATATTCACTGTCCTTTCTATTTTGTGGTAAATTTAGCAGGCAAAGGGAGAAGGGATTCGTTGTCCTTAGCTGAAAGCACGCGCAGTGATGGACATAATGCTGGGTGCTCTTCCTTCACACACACTCTTGCCTGATACAGTCTGTGGTCTGTATCTAAAATAGCTAATGTGCTTTTAACCATTGAATGACATTTCTCTATTATAGAAAAACAAAGCAATTTTTACAAATGTTTGAACAAATGATGTATAAAATGAAAGGATAATTTGTTTTTATAGCTCTCTGCCAAGCTCCATAGCAGGCTGCCCAACCTGCACACAATTTGTTCTGTAAGAAATGTCACTAAATAATGACAAGGACTCACAGGTCAAATGGATTTACATTATATAATTTAAATGTCATTCCAGGAAGACCTGATGGCATTTTGAACAAATAATCTCATTTATTTTTGAAGCTCTAAGCTTCAACAAGTTAATTGCTGTTGAACTAATGGGGAAACTGAGCATTATAATATAATGTGTGAACATTTGCTTTATCTACACTTCAAAAATTTATAGAATTACGCAAATACTATAAAATGATTCATTAAATAGAAAAGAGGCTTATAGGCATTTAAGGTCTGAACTTAGCCTACATCATATTTAAAATATACACTCACTTTCTGCTTTGCTTAAATGTGAAAGAAAGTTGGTCCATTTTTTCAGACCCATCGAGAAAATACTGCACACGCAGGTTTCATTACTGGAAAGAGACTATTTCCAGTGAAAATCTCCTAAAGCGAAGTAGCTAAAATGTCATCCCTCAAAATATGCACATCTATAGATCTGTCTATCTTATTTGCAAAATGTCAGAAGAAAATTTTCAGGAACGAAAAATGAAACATTCAAGGACACAAAAAAACAAGGTGGAAACCACAGATTGTGGTTGCATTCGGCCTTGCTGAGGTAAACGTGCTTTCCAATCACACAGAAAACCTTTAAAACTACCGCCTGACTTTTGCTGAAAGAGATACCAGAAGGAAAAAAAAAAAAATTCCAAGTTTTTAATTTTGTATCCAGGAAACCTTATCAGGAGAGAAGGGTAAATATGAATATATGCATTTAAATCTGCTTGAAAACAAGGCATGCAATGCATCGGTGTAGTGTGGAGAGCAGCAGACAGGTGAATGCACAAAAGCTGGGGTGTGGAAGGCTGGACATGCCTCCCAGCTCTTAGGGAAGGCCGCTGGGGCTACTGCAGTCTGGGGCCCTGACTTTAACAACATGTCAAATGTCACAACATCCTTGTAATAAAGAGCAACTTAATCCCTAAACACTCTTGGTTTCATTCTGAAACTTCAATCTCTACTCCTTTTAGGAGCTAAAGATAGGAAAGCATAAAACATTTTCTATTATTAAAATTAGAAATCTAAAAAAAACCTTTCCCACTGAACTTGCTAAGCCACTGAAGATCTTAAAATGGAGTAGAGTAAGAATCCGGGAGAGAAGAATGAGGGCAACTGTGCTGAGGCGAAGCCCAGCAGTTACTCCAGTGAGAGGCAGCTGCAGTGGAGTGCCACCTGCATCCACACACTTCACGCGGTGCCCATACACAGCTGGTGCTCAATGAACATCTGCTGAACTCTATTAACAAGTGCACAACTTCAGATGTGGAATAACTTTATAAATTAGTTAAGGCTTTAAGACTCTTCATAGGAATCCAATTCCTTGGGTATGAACCTTCTCATTTTAAGTGTTCCCCTAGAGTAATGCCCTTTGTTTTCCCTTGAGGATATCTCTTCAGCCTCTGAAAAAGAAAGAACCAACTCCCACTGAGGCAACCACAGCTTTCAATTTACCCTCAAAGCAGAGAAGCCCTCCGAGAATACTTGGAAAGCCTGAATCTCCGAGCTGAAGCCCTGTGTCCAGGAGCACAATAGTGACACCTCGTGTGGGGTGTGGCTTTCCCCAGCAGCAAGGACACGCGGCGGGACACTTCCAGGTATGTGAGTGATGAAGAGGACGGATAAGCTTCTTTTCAACACTTCACATAAGGGGTGCTGTGTGCCAAAATGGAGGGTCACTTGAGGTGTCCCCAGGGTTTCTGCAGGCCACTATTTCTCCAGTTGTGATTCATCCCAAGGGCAGCCATCCCTCCCATAATGGAGGCTGTGCCCCTGTCCGACAGATGCCGTGATGACTGCATGGGCAGAAGACAGACATTTGAGTGTGTCTGCTTTGACTGTCTGGCAACAGGGCAGACAGGAAGACAGGCAGGGGAGGACAGAGGCAGCCCTCAGGGACAGTGCTGGTTCTCTGCCAGGCATCTTAGGACTCTTTCAGACGCAGCCCATGCATTTGAAAGAGTCCTTAGGCCGCAGCCTTTTCTCCAGCACAATTCATACTTGCTAATAACATGGATACCGTGTGACTAATCAAAGCAGTGAGGTGAAACTTGAAGGTCATATTTTATGTCTCAAAAACAGAAGAAATCAGGGCAGGTTAAAAGAATATTAAGGCGGTCACTTGCGTTTGGAATCCACGCCTTACAGGCCAGTGTGGATTTGAGTGTTGATTTAAACAAACATATCTGATGTCTACATAGACCCTATTTTGGCATACATTCATCACCACTTACGCTTACTTTGCAAACATGCCAAGCAGCTGGTTTTACAAAAATAATATTTAGATTTGAAGAATTTTAGGGGAAAAAGCCGAGACTAGATCACAATAGAACAAATTTTTTGGAACAATGCAAATCCTTCAGTTGCTGAGAAAAAAAAAAAAAAGCTAAAAGAGTATGTCTACTACAAAGGCACTACAGGGAGAGGAGCTGTTAACAAAAGGAGGGTCTGAAGAGTGAACATCACCTCCCAAACAAGGGAAATAGGACACTTGTATTCTCTTCTTTACACCTGGAATCATCTCTCATCCACAATTTTTCACAGCCAGAAATGTTACTTTAATTTTCTGTGGGGAAAAATATAAAAATAAAGGCACTACAAATAAATATATCTAGTCTAAGACTGCCAAAGATAACCCGGGGCTCTGCTAGAATACATTTTTAATGACTTTATAATTAATTCCTGAAAGACTGGGGTGTTTATGGTGCTCATCTAAGGAGATCTGGAAGACCCAACACCTTCAGGATGCTACCAGAAAGCAGGGGTCCTCCAGCATTAATTTCAACAGTAGAGTCCTGAAGATAGAAAATATCAGCCTCAACTTCAGATGTACGCCATAAATTTCCAGCCGACTATAGTTAATGCAAAATTAGCTTTCCTTTACATGAATAACTCTCTTTTCCTGTACATAATAAATACTGAAGGAATTATTTACTCTGTAATTGTCTGGCATGATTTAAAATTAAATAAATAAAGACAAAGCATGGCTTACTGCTCTCAGCACTAGAAATATGTGAAAAATTATATTGACTGAATCTAGTCACACCCAGCCCGATATTAGGACCAAAGCCACGGGTGTGTTTTAGACATAAATCTCTATGAGATCCACGCGTTGCCCTAGAAGGCCTCAGCTATCAAGCACTGACCATCTCTGCAGACACTCAGGGCTGATGTTAGCCATGGGCAGGTGCTGAAATGGCCACTAACATCCCAAGTGATGCAGCCAATCCAGCCAATGTTTTCAGAAGGCACCACATGTGATGCGCAGCCTCTACTTATGTGTGAATACGGCTTTCTGGTTAAAAGTAGGGAACCAGGGCATAGGAATGGTGCTCCAGGTAGAAAAGTTTATTTTTGCTGGTGAGAGGCAGGTTTTGTTAATAAAGCTTTGAAATACACAAATTTCATTCAGATGCTGAATGCTGAGGCAAAACAACAAAGTGCCAGAAGAAATAAGAGCCAACAGGACACTAAAGCATTATATTCAAGACGGAAGGTGCCAGGTTTTGTATCTAAAACTTTCTCTGGTCCTAAGCTTTGGCAATATGATGAGTTAACATAAAATCTGCACTGAGCTGGCATGAGCCTCTACTTAACTGGAGTTTACAGTATAATTTAAAAATAATTAACGAGGGAAGAATATTTCCTTTCCTTTCTTTTTTTTTTTTTTGACAGAGTGTCTCGCTCTGTTGCCCAGGATGAAGTGTGGTAGCGCAATCTCGGCTCACTGCAACCTCCCCCTCCCGAGTTCAAGTGATTTTCCTGCCTCAGCCTCCTGAGTAGCTAGGACTATAGGCGCCTGCCTGGCTAATTTTTGTATTTTTGGTAGAGACAGAAGGGGTTTCATCATGTTGGCCAGGCTAGTCTTGAACTACTGACCTCGGGTGATAAGCCCACCTCAGCCCCCCAAAGTGCTGGGATTTCAGGCGTGAGCCATTGTGACTGGCCAGAAAGAATACTTTGAAGTGTCACCATTAGTAGAAAATCAGAATGGTATTAAAATGAAAATAATAGACATAAAATTGGCAGAGACATAAAGTTTTAAGTTTCAACAGATACTATAAGTAAACTTTTATTGCCATTTCTGTCAGTGGTTTGAAATGTCTTTATTGAAATTGTTTTCCTCTCCAAATGGGTATTTTCCCTTTCTTCATGAGATACAGTTGGAGAGAATATTTCTTGAATAGAAAGACGTTATTTTCAATTATGGAGTTTTAAAGAAAAATTTAGTAAGGACGAATGTTTCTTCATAATTAGATTCAGAAACAAACAAAAACCCCCCAAAACCAAATGTGGTCTATAGTGACTCTTAAAAGGCACTTACAATTTTAAAAGTTAAATAAAATCCTCTTACTTAATCCAGTTCATCAGCTCCACTGTATCTGGATCATAGAATTCTCTCAACTCGGAGAGTTCATCCATCATTCCTGGCCAGAACTGAAATTAAAAACAAAACAAAAACAAAATCCACCCCTATACCCACAACTATCACTAAGATTAAATGAAAAAAAGATAAACTGTATATAATGTGTGAACTAAACAAACATGGCAACTGGAATATACAACTATTTCACCTCTGCAGCAACCCTCCTAATGCAAGGGAACTGGCGTCTGGGAAGTGTCTGAAATTATCTTCATCTGAAGCTAATCAGGATGAGAGGTACCGCCAACTTTAAAAAATGAGCCTTTTAGCTTGCTCCAATAAAAATGCTATTGTATGTGATGTTAATACCTGACAAAACATTATCTTGACATGACAAAAATGCCAACCATGAGAAAGCTCAGAGTCCGTTAGGAATATGTAATTAACTAATACCACGCAATTTACCCCCAAAAGTAGAATGTATCCTGTAGAAGACAGAGCCGTTTTATGGCTGCAAAAATGTTTTAGAATATGGCATTGTTTTATCCTCACAATAACCCATGACATGGATGATGCAATAGGCAGCACCACCCACTGGGATTTATTTTTCATTTAGAAGTGTGGAAACTGCGGCTCAGAGAGGTATCTGACTTGACCAAGTCACAAGTGGCAGAGCTACAACCTGGACCCTGGCTCCAAATCCAGCCCCCTTTTCATTTCATAATAGCATGACTGTATTTTTGTACTAGAAATCTGGTCAAATGGTTTGACATATATTAATATAATTGCTGGTACAATGAGAGAGAAGAATCTTTAAATGTAGGGCTCTCCAGGACAATCTGCTACATCTGGTTCTATTTATACCACTTGGTGCCTCCTGGTCAACTTAAGATTTTGTAAATAAAATATAAAAACTACTCTCTGAATAACCCACTTATCTAATACCTTAAGTCCATTTAATTCAACAATTAACTAAATCTTAATTGTTTTTATCAAATGACAGTTGACTAAAAAGACTTGATCATATCTATATACATCCTAAGGTTAAAGGCAGAATTCATTTCACATATTAGCACAGACCACCAGTGACAACGTATGTATGCTCCACTGACATAGAAAATAGAATACTTTTATTTAAGAACCACTAGTAGAATTAAAGCAGCACCTGATTGATCTCTGGCTGTGTTTGAGACCTATCACTTTTTTTTTGGTCATCTCATCTTTGGCCATTTTTACTGCTCATTCAAATCTTGTCTCCTGGGTGGGTGAATCAGGAAAATTGCTAGTGATGGGATATCAGGTTCAGGACTTCTGGTTCTAGTTTTTGGAAGAGATGTAGTAAAAATTACTGATTAAATGATACCTTTGTAATATTTCAATGATCTATTTTTCCTTATTAATTTGATAACCAATAGAATATCAACTTTTTAATGAAATGCTCTAATTCTTACAGCATAAACATATTTGAAATCTGTGAACTCAATGAATATTAGGTATTTTTCTAGTTTGAAAGTTACTAATTCTGAAAATGTTAAAAGCTAGTGAGAATTTTGTGGCAAACTCCTTTAACCATATGAAAGTGCTGAATTAACTAACTGCTGTTTTTACCAATCAATAGTAGGGATTTCAGCAATCCAAGTAAGTTAATCAAGACCAATGTACTAATTTTACTAAAGTCTTGACTTCAGAGTGGAGGCTAGTACATGCTTTTTTCCTTTTAATAGGCTTATCCTAAAGAGAGATACAGTAAAATTGGTAGTATAAACAAGAAATTTTGAAACCCTAATTACAATTGCAATGTAAAACTGAAATCAGGCTTTGAAACATGAATTCACGTTACTTACAGGTAAGTCTGTAAGAGTTGGAATAGTTGGAAAACAGATTCAGTTTCAGGGTTAACCCCTCATACCCATAACATCATTATTTTCTCTGTGATTTTATATATGTTTTGTGGAGATGAAATATCTGAACTATTTTACACAGTGAAAGTGGAATGCATTAGGATTTCTCCTGAAGTCCTGTATCAAGAGGCTAGGCCAACAGTCTTTTGGAGGATTCCTTAGGATACTAACTCCCTCATTCAGGGAAAACCTGGAAGGATTTCCTGGAGATGATGGCTTCTTTAGCCGTCCTGGTTCTTCTATATCAGTAGTTTTCAAGAGGAGTGAGAGGAGAGATTGTGCCCCCAGCCCTAGTCCCAGGGTGTTTGGCAACGTCTGGTGACATTTCTGGTTGTTGCAGCCAGGGGAGAGGTGCTTCAATGAGCGGGCAGAGGGTGAAGGTGCCGCAGAGCAGCCTACAGCACACAGGACCGCCCCCGCCCCAGGCGGCAAAGAATTCTCTGGCCCAAGTGTCAACGTGCCACTGCTAAGAAACCCTGTAAACGCTACAGCAGGGGGTTCTTAAACTTGGGGGGCTGGTTAAGTGCCTATTTCTGTACTGGACTCCCACGCTTCTGACTCAGTAGGTCTGGAGTGGGAGCCAAACACATGCATGTTTACAGGATCCCAAGAGATGCTGATGCTATTTATCTGAGGACCATGCTTCAAGAGACAGCACTCCCTACGACAGTTTACTTCTTACACAATGTCCTTCTTCAATTTTATTACAAACAAACAACTTCAGTCCTCAAACAGCAAAAAAAAAAAAAAAAAAAAAAAATCCGTAAAATTTCAATAGATAGCTGAGACATAAAAGAACTGAACCTACATGCACACGGGCAGTGTGAAAGATGATTATTGTCTGGTACAGCTTCAGTGGTGAGAAAAACATGCATGGGCTTTATCTTTTCTGTGAGGAGTGTGCTTTAATCCTCAGCATCATTGTGTAAAGAAAGGTAAACTGACTGGACTCCTCAGTAACATATACTGTTTAATCCTTAATTGTTGGTGTCTAGATGTTTTTAATGAGTTTCAGTTATTTACATTAGAGCAATAAAATTCCCAGAGGCGGGGAGGCATAAATCTATTTGTGTTTTTTTTAATATCCAGGAGTTAGCACAGAGTTTTGCTAATGGTAAATGTTTTGATAGGCTCATGACAGAACACATTTCTTTGAAATATTTACAATATAGTATTTAGCAATATTTTCTTTAGCCTGAAACCTTTGGTTCACAAAATCCTACATGAAAATATAAGCAAATAAACCCCAAAGCTGCGCTGTTCTAGCTGATCCTCTCTGTGGGAGGCCCCATCAGCCCTGCTTTTAGCCACCCTCCCGAATCAGAGAACAGCTCTACACGGTAGAGTCTGAAATCCGTCATTCTAACTCAAAGTAAAACTTAAAGGGAAAAAAATCTAAACTTACTATGTTAAGTTTTTTAAAAAGAGAGGTCAGAAGCTCAATTGGGTAAAACAGTCTGTGCTATCTGCCCTGGGAATGATTCAACACTGTCAGTGTCAAAGATGTGACAAAAAGCCACAGTCAACCTGACCAATGATCATTGTCTCTGATAATATCTGAATTAAAGGGCAGTTCATGCTGTTTCAGAAACTAGTCAAATGAGAATATGAAAAATTCAAATACTTCCTATTGATACTGAAGAACAGATTTAAAAAAGCCTAGCCTTAGACACTATTTATTTATGTGTCTAATTCTCTTATGAAGATAAGCATCTAACAAAATATGGAGCTTAAAGTAAGATACATTTAAAAATCTCTTAGTCTATATAAATCAGGTAACGGGAAAATAATTTTTCTACTTTCATTTCAAAATAGCCTGAAAACACCTTATTTTCAGAATTTGCATCAGCTGAATATTAATAGTCTAAACCAAAATTAATTAGAATTATTAAATGCTATAGTAGTTTTTGCTATCATGTTTTTACTTGTTAAAACTATTTGGGAAAAAGATCCGTTTTCCAATCAATGTCACCTGCAGTAAGAAGCTAAGGAGGTATTTATAACCTCCACAAACCACTCTATTTGCCAAATAATACAAAAAATACACTGAATCAAAGCAATTATTTTGCTAAATAAATGAATGACAAGAATGAGGAAAATCAGTCTTACCTTATAGCATAGATACAGCAGTATTAATATCGGTACTGAATATCGCATTATACATATCTATATAAGAAAGACATTATTTAGATTACAAGTATTTTGAACTTTTTCTTTTTTGAGAGACAGGATTGTGCTATGTTGCCTAGCCTGGCCTGGAATTCTTGGGCTCAAGTGATCTTCCTGTTTCAGCCTCCTGAGCAGCTAGGATTATAGGAGTGAGCCACTGTGCCCAGCTTTTAAAACACTTTTGACTTACAGTTTTGCTTTGTAAATATATGACTTAAAAAAATACCAGAAATATAATTTAATGGAGCACAAGTCTCCAATATGCAGAATAACTGAGTCGATATGAGGATTCTAATCATTTGTAAGATATCTGCAGCTTCTACCATATTGCCACCTAGTGAATTTATGGAGTAGAACAATTGAAAACTGCATTTATAGGCTATTGAGAAATGGTCATACATGTATTAATAATTATCTTTATGAAAATACATTATAATAATAACAGTTATAATTCCGGACAAGGGGTGTATTGGTAATTTTAATTCCCCTTTTGTGCTTTTTTTTGTATTTCCAAATTCTGTATAATGAATATATCTAACTTACAGTCTGAGAAAAAAGAAGTAATTTTTTAAAATAAAATTATTTTAAAATAATTCCCTATAAAATCTTAATATATCAATTATGTATTTTTAGCTTCAATTTCAGTATCCATTTTATCTCACTGCTACTGAAAAACAAACAAAAAAAAGTGGTATGAAAGAAATACTACAAGTCACAAAAGGAGATGGAAAAAGGGATGACACTGACCCTCTTTGGGTTATAAAGATGGACTGACTTCAGAAGTAACTCCCATATTTCGGGGCTACATAGGCCGAATGATGCGAACACGCACATGTGTGACGTCCAGAGGTACTTCATTCTGCAAGAAGAGACACAGGCGCAAGTCAGGAAGTACTAGTTGTATATAAACCTGGATTCTGAGATACCTACAAAGGCAGCTTTACAGTCTATGACGGCAAAATCTTACTTAAAACTATGCAGATGCCATTTGCCGAAGGGTTCATTGTTTAACTCCACTGCCTTTTGAGGACTATGTTTTGAGTAAAACGTAGAGGCATGTTTGTAATTAATTGTAAAAACTGATGATGAATATTTTATACTGAGAGAAGATAGTATATAAGGATGATTTTATGGGAACCATGATTATTAATGAAGATGACTGTCACTTTCCACATTATATTGCTAAGTAACATCAAGAGTGGTCAAATTAAAAAGTAAACAAACAGGTAAGAAAAATACCTCATTGTACTCAATGCCAAGAATCCAAACAGAATGGTATGTATTAAGTTGTAGGCAGTTTCTGGTTTCAGGTTAACTGTGCCTTTTTCCATTTTACCCACGGATTGTTGACTTGTAGAATCACTGAGTAAAACAGCAACATACAAAATTTGAGCTGGAAACATAATTTTAGTTAGATCTTTTTAAAAGAAGAAGACACAAGAAATGTATGCCTCTATATATTCAGATTTGATTATTTCCATAAGATGAAATGAATTTGCAATGATCAATTTTGAATTTATGAGGCTAAAAGTATAACAATATAAATGCATTAATAATGAGAAAAACTGAAATTTCACAGCATCTTTGAAGTAAAAATTTAAAGTGCTTCAATTCTTTAAAAAAGAGAATGCAAAAAAAAAAACCAAATTTTTTTGGAATCTCTGAAACTGAGAGAGATCTTTAAAAGATGTTTTACCAGTTATGAGTATTTTTCAAATTTTTACAAATAAAAGCAAAAAACACATCCATTAACTTGGAATTCAGTTTTTTATGAACCCTCAAAAATCACATTTTTAACCTACCAATACCTCCTGATATCCAAAAGATGACTTTTATCAAACACAGCTACATTAAAATTATTACACCCAATAAAAGTAACATTAATTCCTTATCATCATCTAATACCCAGTTCATGTTCTATTTTCCCTGTTTGCATCAACTGCTTTTTTCAGGTTTCTCTGAATCAGGAACTAAGAACTGCACGTTGCATTTCACTAACACATCTCTTTAAATATCTTTTGATCTATAAAAGTATCTCCTTTTTTTAAAAAGCAGGCCATTTGTTTGGGGAAGAACACGGAACACACGTCCTGACGCTGTTCCCGTCTCCCAGGTGTGCCTCACAGGGGTGGTTATACACTTCATGCTTTTTGTAAACTCGTAATTAGATCTAGAGGTTTATTAGACACAAGTTCAGTGTTTTGGCAAGAACACTTCACGGGGTTATGATGCACAGTAGTCCCCTCTCATCTGTGGATTCACTTTCAGTGGTTTGTTACTGAGGAAACTGCTGTCCGAAAATATTAAATGGAAAATTCCAGAAATAAACTATTCAGTGCTGAATTACACGTTATTCTATGTTGCATGATGAAATCTCTCCACCCTTGTCTGTCCCACCTGAGACACAGATCATCATCCCTTGCTCCTGTGTTTCCACGCTGTATACTCTACCCACTCACCTGAGACAGACAAGCAGATACATTCAGCTACTAAACTACTAATAAAGTAAGATACATTTAAATGTCCCTGTATTGTTTGTGTTCAAGCAGCCCTTATTTTACTTAATTAAGACCCCAAAGTGCAAGAGAAGTGATGCTGGCATGTTGCTATTGATTGTTGTATTTTATGATTATTGTTAATCCCTTACCATGGTTAATTTATAAATGAAACTTTATCACAGGGATGTATGTATGGGAAAAAAACATAGTATACAGAGGGTCTGAAACCATCCAAAGTTTCAGGCATCCACTGAGGGACTTGAAACATATTCCCACAGAAAGCGGGACAGCTCTACTCCACATCGCATTACACTGGGAAGCACACATTGCCTGGCTGTCTCCACTTCAGTGATGTTAAGACTGATCAGTGTTTAGATGTTGCACAATTTGTTGTCGAGGGAAAAAGAAAACAACAGTAAAGGCTACTAGTTAAAGATGAAACTTTCATGAAGGTCTACTGATCCCTTCATACATACCCAATAGAAATGGGCACCTGTGATGCTTCTCTATGTAACTAAAGACCTGACCTTTTTTATTTCCCAGAAATCCTTTTTTTCCTACCATAGATACACAGGAAAATTAAAACGATATTCTAAGGCTGTTCTCACCATTTGGTAATTCATCACTGGAATCTTAAAGGAAATATTACAACCCAAACACTGGTTTCTCTATTGGTACAAAAAGGATGCTCCAAACAAGGAGAATATCCATAAACAGGGCAAGGTGTGAAAAGTAAATAAAAATAAAACAGACAAGGAGAGTATGTGCTCTTATCCTCTCTAGATACCTAAGAGAAGTCCTCAGCACCTCCCCAATAACCCAGCCAAACTGGAAACCTCTGATTAATTCCATGAACACAGAATGCTGTGCCCCTTTCAGATGTGCCTCTCACACTAATGCAGACGTACCTCTCACACTAATGCAGACGTGCCTCTCACACTAATGCAGATGTGCCTCTCACACTAATGCAGATGTGCCTCTCACACTAATGCAGATGTGCTGCATAAAAGTTACAGTATCTGGCAGGGTGCAGTGGCTCATGCCTGTCACCCCAACACTTTGGGAGGCCGAGGCAGGCAGATCACTTGAGGTCAGGAGTTCAACACCAGCCTGGCTAACATGGTGAAACCCCGTTTCTATTAAAAATGCAAAAATTAGCTAGAGGTGGTTGTGCGTGCCTATAATCCCAGCTACTTAGGAGGCTGAGGCAGGAGAATTGCCTGAACCCAGAAGGCAGAGGTTGCAGTGAGATGAGATTGCACCACTGCACTCCAGCCCAGGCAAGAGTGAGAGCATCTCAAACACAAACAAAACAAAGCAAGTCATAGTATCATCCTTCCTAGTACTAAAAAGGTAGCAATACTTTAAAAACTTGGCACTGACAAAAGGCCCTTATTTAAAAGTTAATTCACATTTGGACGTAGTCACGTGCCACATAACAACATTTCGGCCAGCAACAGATGACACGTACCACAGTGGACTCGTAAAATGATAATGGAGCTGAAAAATTCCTATTGCCTAGTGACATCATAGCCATCATAATGTCATAGCATAGTCACTTTGTTTCTTAAATAGATTTACTATAGCCTAAGTGCACAATGTTTATAAAGTCTACAATAGTGTATGGTAACATCCTAGGCCTTCACATTCACTCACAGGCTCACACAAAGAAACTTCCAGTCCTGCAAGCTCCATTTATGAAAGATGCCTTATAGAGGTATATAATTTTTAATCTTTTATACAGTATTTTTAAAATAGAGATAGGGTCTCCCTCTATTATCCAGGCTAGAGGGCAATGGTGCAATTATAGTTCACTGAAACCTTAAATGCCTGGGCTCAAGTGATCCTCCCACAGTTTGCACACATCATGCCTGGCTAATTTTTCTTTTCTTTTTTTTTTTTGTAGAGATGGGGTCTTGCTATGTTGCCCAGGCTGGTCTAGAACTCCTGGCCTTAAGCAATCCTTCTCAGTCTCCCAAAGCACTGGGATTATAGGCGTGAGCCACCATACCTGGCCTTTGTATTTTTACTGTACCTGTTCTATGTTTAGATATATTTAGTTACACAAATACTTACCATTGTGTTACAACTGCCTACAGTATTTAACATAGTAACTTGCTGTCCAGGTTTGTAGCCTAGATGCAGTAGGTTATAACATATAGCCTAGGTGTGCAGTAGGCCATACTATCTATGTTTGTGTAAGTACACTCTATGATATTCGCACAATGATAAAATCACCTAATATGCATTTCTCAGAACATATCCCCCTTGTTAAGTGACACGTGACTGTACTATGATTCTTTAATTACTTTAATGTAGTGCTTTTCCTCTAATAAAATCCTAATACCCCTATCTGGTAGATGAAGATGCTCTAAAATCTTTTATCTATGATCATATACCAAATCAGCCTCCAGAGATGGCTCACAGATTCACACAGGGCATGGCAGATATTTTCACCAAGATACTGCAGGCCCACTGAACTTCCTGCTTTGTATGCAGTCTAGAGTCCTGTCGACACTTGGTATGTCTGGAATAATATTAAATCACACTGTCCAGAATAACTTCCATCTATTTTCACAGGGCTCAATTTTATCTTGGGTTAGGTATAAAAAAGAACACTTCTGAAAGATAGTAAAATAGTTTATGGTCAATGAAATATTTTCATGGTTCAATGTTGCTTCATTCTTAATAATCATAAAACCTCTCAACTGCTCTGGACTCATTTTAATGACAGTTCTCTCGTGGCTGTGAATCACAGTTCACCAGCATCTTAATTGGCAAGGTAACTACAGAAAAAGGGCTTCCTCCTGAGCTTCATTAAGTTTTCACAAATGACAGTAGCTTCAACTTCTTACACTTAATTTTCTTTGTTTAACACGAACAGTCAATGCAAATCCCCCAGCAGCTTGATGGGTAGATATTCTTACAAGTTTTTAAAAAGCCTTTATACTCTTGATTTTTTTCTTTCAGTAGATTAGTAGACATGCTAAGTTTTTTAAAACTAGCAGTTATTACTCAAAACTTTCAGTAGATACTAATAATTATGGTCCACTCCAATATTATCAGCCCTGAAGCAAGATGCAAGAAAACAAATGAGCAATAATTAATCAACTCTTACATTTCAAGAGGAATACAAAAAAGCAGCTACAGGTGGAAGGGAGAAAAACACAGGATGCTAATGATGGCAACACAACAGAGGCTTATGAGTCAACAGTGATAATGAAACCAGTTCATGATGGCTTGTACCTGCCAAAGTCTAGGCACCAGACACTATTTTAAGTGCTTTATGTTGTTCTGACTTACTTATTTCTCAAATACCCTGTAGAGTAAGTACTCTTAGTCTTCCCATTCTAAAGATAAGGAAATGGACATATCGAAAGGTTATGTAACTGACTCAAGGATCACTTTGTCCCCAAGTGTGCAGGCCAAGACTTAGGCCCAGACCGTATGCAATCTGATCGTTACTCTGTTGTCTCTTAACTACTGGGAGTGTAGTCCACTGTAAAAGAGGTATGTTCCCCCTTTAAGATGAATACTATTACTCTGTTCCGTGTCTGATATTCTGACTTTCAACTGTGCAATTTTTCTGCAACATGGAACAAGTTCATTAATAGGAGAGCATTAGATTTCTGAAATATACCATACCTGAGATTATGAAAGGCAACAACGAATGCTACAGTCACTGTGATGGACAGAACAAATACGTAAGCATAAAAAAGCAGAGTGTCTGAAAGCCTTCCAAATGTATTAAAAGGCAGGAGGCCAAAAGCTTCTTCACACAGATAGAGATTTGCATCAAAATCCCTAGGGAACAAATGGAAAGCAAAGTATTAAATTCAATACAAGACAAAGAAATGACATTACATCTTTCCTCAAAGGGAGTCTGTAATTAATAGGTGAAGGCATAATGACAACTTAAGTTTTAAAGTCCCTGCTGATTCAACAGAAAATAGCAAACATAGATTTTCAATTCAGTTATACCTTGTTGCTCCAAGCCCAAATTTTGCCTTCAGAAATTTAAATATGTGTTCATCTGACTTCAGGTTAAGAATTTTCTATCGAGGAAAGAGAAAACAAAAATTGCTATTAGTCCTTTAGGCATAGTTTCCTGATAATTTCCCATTGAATTTATATATTCAGTGTCCAATTTCATAGGAGCGTGTGGGTGTATAAAATCAGTAAATGCTCACAGTAGTTCTCAGAACTGAGGAATTCCAAAGCAGGGACTTCCAAACTCCTTCCAATCCCCACTCCCCATTTTAGTATAATCCTTTATTCAAAAAACATCTTATACATAAGTTAAATATGCAAAATAGGTAAAAGATGAGATTTTTTGGTTTCAGGGAGAGGGAGAAGGCTGAGGCATAGTGAGCGTAAGTTTTCAGACCAGAAAACTGACAAGACGATGATCTGAAACCTCAAATAGATACACCACCCACAAGGCCTGTCTGGCTTTGGGGCTTTTGGTCTGCAGATATAATCGATCCAAGACTTATTCACTCAAAGACAATTCAAGACAGTTGTAACCCTCAAGGGGTGGACAGACAAATATGAGTGTTCATCATTAGTGATTACAATTTTAACTCATATAATTCTATTTTAAATTTGTGGCTTAAAAATCCATATATAATAACACAAATGGTGAAGAAATTCTATTCGAAGAAAAATGAAGATAGGGAAAAAACATGAAGCCACAACTGAGTTCAGTACACACAATATATTCATTAGAGATGAGCCACAAATCTGGTCTTTTGCATTCCAGCACCAAATGCAAAGAGGTAGGTCAATATATTTATGTTACTCACAGGTTTATAAGAGTAAAACAAAACAGTTGCTCAGAAGAGATCCTAACAGTCCTAGAACTGAGACTCAAAATAAATTTTTCCCATGGGTACAGCAAAAACAGCAAGGACTTTCAAGGAAAAGTTTCTCTACTTCCTCTTGTTGTAGGTCACTGACAAGACATCAAGTGCAATTCAACAGATGTTATTCTTTGGGGATTCAAAAAATGGTGGTCCAGGGATGCAGCTCTTTACTGATTTAATCCAAGAACAGGTCACTGAATATGTATAGTGGGTCAATGGAAGAATTGTGTATCTTTTGGCCACTTTTCCAGAAATGCTAGCAGTTCCACTCAAATAAGCTTTTTTTGAAAAAAAATTTTTTAGTAGAGTTTAGGTTTTGCTATGTTTCCCAGGATGGTTTTGAACTCTTAGCTAGCCTTAGGCGATCCTCCCACCTTAGCCTCCTAAAATGTTGGAATTACAGGCATAAGCCACCATACCTGGCTTTGAATAAGCTTTTTAATTTTTGTGGGCACATAGTAGATGTATGCATTTATGGAGTATATGAATATTTTTTTACAAGCATATAGTGTGTAATAATCCCACCAGGAGAAATGGGGTATTCATCAACTCAAAAAAAAGCTTTTGGCTGAGTGCAGCGGCTCGTGTCTGTAATCCTAGCACTGTGGGAGGCTGAAGTTGGGGGATACCTTGAGCCCAGGTGTTTGAGACCGGCCTGGGAAACATGACAAGATCCCATCTGTACAAAAATTGTGAAAATTAGCCAGGTGTGGTGGCACACACCTGTAGTCCCCGCTACTCAGGCTGAAGTGGAATGACTGCTTGAGCCCAGGAGGTCAAGACTGCCATGAACCAAGATCGTGCCACTGTACTCCAGTCTGGGTGGCACAGTGAGATCCCGTCTCAAAAAAAAAACAGAAACAAAAGTAGAAATTTAAAAATAAATTATTGACAAGTACTGGACTGTATGGAGTTTAAGAACATACTGACAGCCGAGCGTGGTGGCTCACGCCTATAATCCTTTGGGAGGCCAAGGCAGGTGGACTGCTTGAGCCTAGGAGTTTAAGACCAGCCTGGACAACACAACAAAACCTTGTCTCTACAAAAAATACAAAAATTAGCGTGGTGATATGCATCTATAGTCCCAGCTACTCAGGAAGCTGAGGTGGGAGGACACCTAAGCTCAGGAGATCGAGGGTGCAGTGAGCCGTGACCACACCAGTGCATTCCAGTCTGGGTGAGAGATCCTGTCCAGAAAAACAAAACAAAACAAAAAAAAGAACACAGTGACGTAGTGACTGGCTGAGTGAAGACATTTTTTCTTTGATAGTCAACAGATGTGAACAAGGACCACAGTTCTCTTGTGGAAAAAGAGCTTGTTTTGCAGATGCCTCCTATCCTGCGACCAACCTTCTAGGACAGGCAAAATTATCTGAAGAAATCAATGTAGTTTTGCTCTAGCATAAAAACAAATGGGACATCAAGGTCCAAGAACTATACCTTTAATAAAGCCTACCCTGAAAAAAAATTAAAAAGCCAATAAAAACATTTAAAAAGTATGTTAAACTAAGCAGAGCCCCTGGGGCGATGTAAAAATCTTAGCAAAGCACCTACTGGACATAAAACCAATGGATGCCTACGTTACTAAATGAGTTGTTCCGTTAGGCATGTTACATATAAGTCAGTTAAATGTTGGGAAAAATGAGCTTAACTCTTCTTTCTAGCAGAAAGTAGATAGTAAGGCCAGTTTACTTATTAACTGAACTCAATAAAAATCATGTCTTTTTTCTTTAAGTACCACAGTACAGAAAGCTATGTGTATATTATGGTACTAAAAATAAAAAAATTTAAATTTAGGGAAATATTTGTTTAATGCTTTTTAAGCTTTTAAAAGTTTCATAACAAAAGGTGAGTAAGTTCAAGGTGGAACATAAGAGTACATAGAAATGAATGACTAAAATCAATAAAATAATCGTTGTTACTAAGACGAAGTTAAAATTGAGCCTGTTTGAAGTAAAACCGGCAACTCTCCAGTCACGGTAATACACTTTATAAAGCAAGAATTTATTTAAAATTGAAAGTTTCAAAGAAGCCAGGTGTGGTGGCACCTGTAGTCCTAGCAACCTGGGAGGCTAAGGTGGGAGGGCCATTTGAGACCAAGGGTTCAAGGACAGCCTGGGAAATGGCAAGGCCCAGTCTCTAAAAAAATTAGTTTATTAAAAATGAAAAAGAAAGTTTCAAAAATTATCCCAATGCCATAAGTTAATTAAAAATACATTAAATATATCATTTTATTAACTTACCTTAATTATGTTGTTGAGAAAAAGTGTCAAACATAAAACCATAAATAAATGTAACAAAAGTTTCCCAAGCCTATTAAGGAAGCTTCCAGTTTTCAGATTTTTCTAGAAATTAAAAGAGTTATGTTTTAATTCTTAAGTTTTAAAATAACTTCATAAACACTGAAGATAAGCTTACTTAAGGATTTAAAAACACTGGCTCATATAACATAAAGGGAAAATACACGTGGAAAATACAACCTACTCATTTTCATGGGATTACACTGTCTTAATATCTATGATTTTCTAGTAGTAAATGAGTCACTTAATAATGAGTTTCGTAAGATGAGGAAATGTGTCCTAGTCTTTTTTTTTTTTTTTCCTAATTATTTTTTAAGACCTTAGCAACTGGACGATTGGGGTCTGCCATTTGGAAGGTATTCAGGATATGCTGACCGAACAAACTGTTACATTTTTTTTTTTTCTCTTTTTCTTTTGAGACGGGGTCTCACTCTGTTGCCCAGGCTGGAGGGCAGCAGAGCGATCTCAGCTCACTGCAAGCTCCCCTTCCCGGGTTCACGCCATTCTCCTGCCTCAGCCTCCCGAGTAGCTGGGACTACAGGCGCCCGCCACAACGTCCAGCTAATGTTTTGTATTTTTAGTAGAGATGGGGTTTCACCATGTTAGCCAGGATGGTCTTGATCTCCTGACCTCGTGATCTGCCCTCTTCGGCCTCCCAAAGTGCTGGGATTACAGGCATGAGCCACCTTGCCCGGCCCTGTTACATCTTTTATCCATTAATTCCCACATCACAGACATAGTTACAACTCAGTTACATAAAAGACCTATAGGTGTAAAAAGAAGTACATTGTGCCTTTTGACATGTAATAGTTTTCTTATAATCATCAGATAATTTTATACATTGTTAAATATAATAATATCTTAACAGTTCAAATACGAGTAATATTTATTTATAATTAAGGTTAAAAGGATGACTGTGAACTGCTGTTTTTGATAGTCAACTAAAAGCCTTTGTCCATAACAATTCTCACTCAAAAGACTAATAAGAAAAATGATTTCTTTTTCTCAAAGTGGAAAACAATGGCTTCTTCACACAGAAATGTTTCTAGTATATGTGAAACAGGATGTTATAATTTTAAGCAAAAACAAATGACTCATGTCTTATGTAAATACAAGAAATTTAATTATATAAATAAAGCTAAAAGAGCAAGTCATTGTTTTCAAACATGATTTGACAATACCCTAGGAAATGTTTCACTGTTTCTAAAGCTATTTATTTGGATTTTCAAAATTCTCAAAACAGAGTTAATTGTGGTTCACCTAAAAGTAACTAGTATGGTATGGAAGGATGGGGAAAAGAGTAGCTTTACTACATCAAATGACAACAGGGTATCCACCAACGTGAAAGACTGTGATGAACACGCTCCCAACATAAGCAGGAGACTCTTCTCGCTCCTGAGTTCACACTCATGAAAATTAAAAACTTTTCTCTTTTTACTTTAACTTTAAATCAGTGGCATTCAACCAAGCACCTTTAGCCGATCCCCACATTGAAGGTAAGGTTCCATTTCTCTAAGAAATAACTGTCAAAACAAAAAGATGACCTCAGAAAGCTTGAAACAGAAATGCTACCACACGCATATGAAAAAGCACACAATGCCACTTGCGCTTTTTAGTGCGAAGTCAGGTCGTAAATTTCCCTTTGTATGCTGTATGAAAATAAGGTTCAATAAGCCACGCAATTAAAAAAAGGTTACTTCAATAAACGACAAAAAAAAAAGTCCTACCTGAAGTTTTCTTGCAACGAATACTGAAAGGTTAAAACTGATGAGCAGTGATCCAAGAATCATGGAATTAAAAAACTGAAGAATGCAGACCAGGAGTAAACTTGTTATCTGTATTCCATACAGCCACGTCGCCTGCAAGAACCAAAGATTAGATGAGTACAAATATTTTACCAAGAGATCACCACATGCCAACATGTTGGTCATGAGTTGGATACAATCTCAGCTTACAAATAATGCAGAAAACACACATAGCTTTAAGAAACACAATCTAGGCTGGGCGTGGTGGCTCACACCTGTAATCCCAGCACTCTGGGAAGCCGAGGTGGGTGGGATCACTGGAGGCCAGGAGTTCAAGACCAGTCTGGCCAACATGGTGAAACCCCATCTCTATTAAAAATCCAAAAAAAAAAAAAAAGGCCTAGTGCGGTGGCTCATGCTTGTAATCCCAGCACTCTGGGGAGGCCAAGGCGGGCAGATCACAAGGTCAGGAGATCGAGACTATCCTGACTAAGAAGTGAAACCCCGTCTCTACTAAAAAATACAAAAAATCAGTCAGGCGTGGCGGCAGGTGCCTATAGTCCCAGCTACTCGGGAAGCTGAGGCAGGAGAATGGCATGAACCCGGGAGGCAGAGCTTGCAGTGAGCTGAGATCACGCCACTGCACTCCACACTGGGGGACCGAGCGAGACTCCGTCTCAAAAAAAAAAACCGGGTGTGGTGGCTCGTGCCTGTGATCCCAGCTACTTGGGAGGCCGAGATAGAAGAATCGCTTGAACCCATGAGAAATAGGTTGCAATGAGCCCGAGAATGCGCCACTACACTCCAGCCTGGGCAACAGAGCGAGACTCCATCACAAGAAAAAAAAAAAAAAAAGAAACACAATCTAAAAAAGGAAACTAAATCATATACATACCAACTGTTTATTTACCTTTTAATAACAAATCTTCTAACATTAATTAAAAGGGAAGTAAAGAGGGATGATATGAAGTAGAGGATATAAACAACAACATAAATGTATTTATTTCTGGGAATTGGCAAAGGCCATTTGTAATCTTCAGTTTTCTTTTCAACTATTTCAGTTTCTGTTTATGGTCAACAATAAGTACTTTATTGTGTGCTCTGTTATTTCCTAGCTTTCCATACTCTATACTTTAGGACTGTTTCATTCCTTGCTTTGTCTGTGTGAGTGTGTGCCCAGATACCCTGATCAGACTGCAAACCCCTCCTGCTGCATGACCTTGTTTTCTTTGACCTCACAGCTTCACAGCAGGCAGCACAGTACAGTGGGCAATGACATCAGCTCTGGCACCAACAGCACGGCACTGCAGTTCCGATTCTGCTGCACACCAGCTATGTGACCTAAATGGTTCATCCGTGAACCAGAGACGATGACACCTTCCTCACAGAGTTGATGTAGGGTCTGACAAGAACCAGATGTGGTAATGTATGAAAATGCCTGGTGGCCAAGCACGGTGGCTAATGCCTGTAATCCCAACATCTTGGGAAGCTGAGACAGGAGGATCGCTTGAGCCCGGGAGTTCAAGACCAGCCTGGGAAACACAGCGAGACTGTGTCTCTACAAAAATAAAAAAAACTAACCAGGTATGGTAGTGCAAAAGCCTGTAGTCCCAGCTGGTCACGAAGCTGAGGCAGGAGGATCACTTGAGTCCAGGAGGTTGAGGCTGCAGTAAGCTATGATTGCTCCACTGCACTCCAGCCGGGGTAACAGAGCAAGACCTGGTCTCTAAAAAAAAGAGGGGGATGGGCGGGTGGGGAGGAAATGCCTGGCACATAATGAGCGCTAAGGATTAACTCTCGATGTAGTGAAAATTGTTGACAGGTTGATACTAAAAGCAGCAAAACACAACTAACTTGAATACACAAAACATGCCACAAAGGAAAAAAAGGCAGTTCCTAACAAAGAGTGGACACTTATTCTGTTAGTTTTCTTCTTCTCTTTCAAATCAGACAATGCCATACTCATACTGACATGTGAAAAATACCAGTTTTATTCAGCAGCAAATCTGATTTTCTCCATGGTTTTGTTCTCTTAACCTCAAGGGAAACAAACCTATTGATAGAAGCACTGAAAAGTGAGGCTTGCAGCAGTTCAGCGCTTTGCTTAGTGTCAGTGGGAACCCAGGGAAATGGATGCGGATGATCTTTAGGATCATGAAGATAATGTATCTTACTCTAGGAGAGTTAGACACTTCAGAAAAACACAAACAAGAAATAGCAATCGATAGGTAGGCTCTTGAGTCAAAACCCAGCACCATTACCTAAAGAAATAATATTGATTTCATAGCAGTATATAGTATTTCATGTACAGGATTTTACATCCTTCACATCCTACCATATCCTTTTCTCACATCAGTGACTATTCTGTGAAAACTTAAATTTTAAATGGTTATGTAACATTCCACCATATGCCATAATTTGTTTGCCACTGGACCATTTAGGTGTTTCTGGCTTTTTATTAACATTGTGAACATCCTTTTAAAATTTTTTTCAGATCTGATTCTCAGAATTTCTAATCGAATTCTGATTAGTTATGTATTTTGTTCACTGCTGTATCCCCAACACCATAAAGAATACCCACCAGAAGAGTGGCACTTAATAAACATTGGAGGAATGGATGAATAAAAACATTTCCTTAGGGATAGATTCCTGAGTACAATTACTGGTTAGAGAAGGAAGAGTTTTTCCTTCTTAGCAGTTTTATTAGTTGATATAATTCATACACCATCAAATTCACCCATTTAAAGTGTACACTTCATGATTTTTGGTATATTCACAGAATTGTGCAACTATCACCTCAGTCTAATTTTATGACATTCTCATCACTCCAAAAGAAACCCATATCCACTAGCCATCACTCGCCATCATCCCCTACCCCCAGCCCCGGCAACCACTGATGCACTGTTCTCTACAGATTTGTAAATTCTGGACATTTCACAGAAATGGAATAAAGTGCAATCTTTTTTGGCTATCTTCTCTTACTTAGCACGGTGTTCTCAAGTTTCATCCATGTTGCACCATGTATCAACATTCTTTTTTATTGCTGAACACTATTTATTGCACGGCCAGACTACATTGTTTATGGAAGGGATATGGGCATTCGGGTGGTTTCCACTTTGTAGCTACGAATCACACTGCTATGAACATTCATATACAAATATTTTTGCATGGTTATGTTTTCATTTCTCTTGGTATGTATCTAGGAGTGGGACTGCTAAATCATATGGTAGCTCTATATTTAAAATCAGGAAACGCTGAGGAAATGCTGGTTTTCAAAGTGACTACATCATTTTATAATCCCATCATCATCAACGTATGAGAGTTCTAATTTCTCCACATCCGTGACATTTATCTCTGTTTTTTAATTTTAGCCATCCAAGTGGGTGTAAATTGGTATCTGCTTGTGGTTTTGATTTGCATTTCCCTGATAGCTAATGATGTTGAGCATCTTTTCATGTGTTTATTGGACATTTATGTATCTTACTTAGAGAAATATCTACCCGAATCCTTTGCTATTTTATCACTGAAAGAGTTATAAGAGTTCTTCATACATTCTGGAATTCCTGATCAGATACATGATTACAAATATTCTCTCTCGTTCTATGGGCTGTCTTTTCACTTTCTTAATACTACACTTTTGAGTACAACAGTTTTAATTTTGATGAAGTCCAACTAATCTGCTTTTGTAAAAGTCACTTGTGCTTTTGGTGTTGTATCTTTTTTTTTTTTTTTTTTTTTTTTTTTGAGACGGAGTCTCGCTGTGTCGCCCAGGCTGGAGTGCAGTGGCCGGATCTCAGCTCACTGCAAGCTCTGCCTCCCGGGTTTTTACGCCATTCTCCTGCCTCAGCCTCCCGAGTAGCCGGGACTACAGGCGCCCGCCACCTCGCCCGGCTAGTTTTTTGTATTTTTTAGTAGAGACGGGGTTTCACCGTGTTAGCCAGGATGGTCTCGAACTCCTGACCTCGTGATCCGCCCGTCTCGGCCTCCCAAAGTGCTGGGATTACAGGCTTGAGCCACCGCGCCCGGCTGGTGTTGTATCTAAGAAAGAGTGTGCTACTCCAAGTCATGGAGAGTTATTACTATGTTTTCTTCTAAAAGTTTTGGTTTTAGCTCTTACACTTAGGTCTGTGATTCGCTTTGAGTTAGTGGGGCTCAACTTCATGCTTTTGCATGTCGATATGTTATTCCTGCATCATTTGTTGAAAAGACCATTAATTCTCCATTTAATTATCTTCAAACCCTTGTTGAAAATCAACTGACCATTTCTAGTGAGGGTTTATCTCTCTCAATTCTATTCCTTGGGTTTACGTCAACCCTTCTGCCAGTATCACACTGTCCTGATTACTATAGCTTTCTAGTAAGTTTTGTAATTGGAAAGTGTGAGTCTTCCAACTTTACTCTTCTTTTTGAAGATTGTTTTAGCTATTCTGGGTCCCCTGAGTTTCCATATGAATTTCAGGATCAGCTTGTCAATTTCTGCAAAAACTCCTCCTGGGATTCTGAGAGGGAATGTGTTGAATTTGTAGATCAATTTGGGGAGCACTGCCATCTTAACAAAGTTAAGTCTTCCAACCCAAGAACATGCATTATCTTTCCAATCTAGGTGTTTAAAACTTTCAGCAATGCTTTGTGGTGTTTTGTAAAGCACAAGTTATCACTTTGGGTTAAATCTGTACCTATGCATTTGACTCTTTTTGATGCTCTTCTTTCTAGGCAGTGTTTGTGTCCTTTGTTCCCTTTTCTCATCGGTTTATAAATGGTTTTCTCATGGATGTGTAGGAACTCTTTAAGGATACTAACTCATTTACAAATGCTTTTTTTCCAAAAACATCTTTCTGTTTGCCTTTATTTGTGGGTGTTTTTTGATGTTTACAGTTCTTTTTATATCAAGTGAGCCTATTTCCAGAAAAAGGGGCAGTTTGTGTAACAACAAGATTGTACAGTTTTATATACATTCAAATGAAACATTGCTGATGAACAGCCAAAAATGTAAAATTGAGCAGTACTGTGTATTAGGAAGTCCTGGATTATCAGTGGTATACTGGATATTCTTTCCCGGTTCTATTAGTACAGTACAGTATAGAAACAAGGCAGCAAGAATATAGTTGACCCCT